CCGCAGAGCTTATCAAACGATTCAAACGCCACGGCTCTGTTCGCGGCGGTGGTGGTCACGGATCTGTTGCCGACAACACGCCCGCCCGCAAGATGTCTGTGGCGGACATACTGTCACCCGCTGTCCAGTTGGGCGTTAATAAAAGTGAATTGAATTGATTTTTTTTGTAGTACTTTTAAATCAATGTTTTACTGATAATTGTTTTTAATGCATGTGTAGAGCAAAGGATGGCGTCTATGCCTCAGTTAGGCGTCAACGGAGACGAGAGCGTCGAAGAAGACACCAACGTATCGGATCCCGAAGAGGACAGCAGACAATTCATATCCATTTTAATCAAATGTTTGGCGCTTTTGAACAAAATTCCCGAAGCGGTCGACGTATGTCTTAATACCATTTAAAGTCATTTAATATCACTTAAATGCAAATGTGTTTTAAATACAGACAATCAAAGAACGTTGCGATAAAGAGTTGACAAATCTGGCCAAACGGACGGGCCGTGAGGTGAGCGGCGACTCGACGGACACCGGCGTCACCACCGACTGGACGGGCGATAAGACCTTTTCGTTTGTGTTGAGTTCATCGGCACTGTTAGGCAATTACAACAGCAAACAGAAGGCGCCGCCGCACTCACTGCAAAACTTCTTGGACCTACTGTTCCAACAGTACCGCACTGTTGTCCATCTGCACGAGTCCATCGTATTGGCCGCACTTCAGCGGCTGGAGTACGACCAGAGTGTGGACATCGATGGCGTCACGCTATACACAATACCCGACATCTGGTCTAAAGTGCAGACAATCGTACAGTACGTGATGGACCTGTATCTGGACACCAGCGGCGCGCACAGTAGCGCCAAAGCTAATCCGGCCATTAATCCGTCGGTAGTGTCGGCCAATCCCACGGTCGCAGACTTATCCTCGTATTTCGTGCGCAAAAGCCGTATCACTGCTCTGACCACTGATCGCTTACTGAAGACAAATAAGGCGCCGCTCTTCCGCTTCGACCACTCATCGCACGCCATATCACTGAACGCCTATTTGGCCGAACAGAAAGAGGCGGCACTCAAAGAGATGGTCGCCAACGGCGAGTCCGGCGGCGACACCGGTGACGGTCACGGCATGGACTCAATCGACTTCACGCTAAACTCGACCGAGAAGTACATCGTCTGCGTCCCACAGCCCGAGAACATTGTCTTAATGTTCAACCCATTGATTAAATTCATACGCGAAGTGGAGGACGAGCTGGAACTCGATGACGGCAGCCATTGTCCGCTCTATTTGTATCTGATTTCGTGCGCCAAGAGTTTTTGCAATCAAATCAACCACGACTTGGAGCGTACCATCGATTTGGCCAACAAATCGCTGGACATATGGAAAATACAAACGGATCCCGAATGGCTGGCGGGCGTCGGTCTGTCGCGACCGGTGCTGCACT